TAAAAAAAATATTTGTCTATTTCTTTTAAAAAAATTTAAAAATAATTAATTTAAAATAAACTCAAAGATAAAAAATAAAAGTTATTTTGAGATAAAAAGACTATAACTAGTAAACTATTTGGTATTACAAAAAGTTAAATTTTTAATTTTTTTAAGATAAATATAATATATGACAATTTGGATTTTTAATTTAACTATTTTTATTATTATAAAAATATTTTTTTTTACAATTTTAATTTTATTAAATTATAAAACAATAATCATTAATTTTAGAGAAAATCAGGGTATTTAAAATTCTTTTCTAATTCAATTGATTAATTTCGTAGAATCTAACAACTATTTCCATTGTGAATATGAAAATTGCAGTTCAACTAACACTGGCCACTAGCCTAGTAGTGTAGTGGACATGACCCAAAAAATTTTAGGAGGGTGGCCCATGGGATTGGGGCCAACCGGCCCAGGGGAAATTGCCTGGAAGGATCTTCTACTTCGCACCCCACCCAAATTGCCGCTTCTTCAAGCTGTGCATGTGCGTGACGCTTCGTATGTTGCATACATCGGTTTCAAGATTTTTGTAAGTATATGTTTGGAATATTATTTAATGTTTTTTATTTAATTATTTTAAAGGATAATAATATAGAAATGAAATTTTATATAATTTATATATATATTATTTAATGTATTTAATATTACAAGTTTCAAATAAATAAAAATAATTAATCATTTAATTTATATATAAAATTATATTAAAAAATAATAAAAATATTTCTTTAAATTATTTTTCCCTTTTTAATCACATATTATTGGAAGTTGAGATTTTTACGGTAAACAAACCTAATTTTTAGGGAAAAAATTATCTGATTTTGATTCCTACTTTTACTCATTCACTTTATCATTTCGGTGATTATTTATGTATAAATACTCCCATCGTCCATTTTATTCAACACATACATTTCCTTCTCAATTCAAAAACTCTTCACTATCATTAACCTACTACATACCAATCTAAGCAAATTCAATTTGGTTGAGGCGTGTAGTCACTGTCTTTGAAAATAAATTAAAGACAGTGATAACATTCCTCAATCAAATTTTGTTTGTTTAATTTTTTTCATTTGTCAACTACTTAAATAATTCAATGATTATCTCATTTCGTTAGAAATAAAAGTTTTTGAAAGGGATAAAAAATAATTGTCTCTCATCGTACAATTGAGCTCAAATTTTTTTTTCTTATTTATTTTTCTCATAAGTTAATATGTATTGTATTCTACTGCGTTTGAGTTTGTGTTGGCAATATTTTTGAAAATTAAAACTCGATTATGTTTATTTTCATATTTTTTCCATTTTTATGATATTTATATTTTTTTTAAGTAATCATAAATATTTTTAATTTATGAAGAAAATTTTCAGGGGAAATAGGGGTCGCTAGCAAACGAAAGAAGAGTGATGCGGAAGCGAAATGCGTGAGATTCTTTTCCTTCTCTTCTCTTCTAAATTTCTATAATGATGGTTTTACTTTTTTTGTTTCCATTTTCAAAATGTTGATAATTGCCACTTAAAACAGAATTTGAAACTCATACGTAACAAAAACGTCACTTGTTTTTATTATTATTATTTTTCAAAACAACATTCTAGTAATTCTACCCGCACCCGCACCCTCATCCTTTTTCCTTCCTTCAAATCATATTAAAATGAAACTCCACGCTGTGGCCCAACGAACACAACCTTCATTATAAGTGGAGATCACCTTTTTATAAATGCATGAATGCATGTTCAAATTTCACGGGTCTTATTTTCTATTCTTCCACGATATCTTGTTTAGAAAAAAAAATATCATTCCAAAAACTACAATTTGTCTCCATTCCATTTTTCTAAATTGACGTCGGTGCTGACATAAGAAAAGTAGACTCTCTTAAAAAAAAAAAAAAACTGTGATTATTGTTACTCTATAAAATATTATAAATATTATAATTTTAATGTTTAAATAATATTTTAAAATATTAATTTTTTAATTAATTTTAATTTATTAACTACTAATAAATATTAATTTAACTGTTTTGCATTATTTCAATTATTGATTAATAATTATAATTATTAATTACTTTATTAATTAAATTAATATTTTTTAAAGTAATATTTTACAGTTTTAGTGACCTTATAATTCTTATTAATGCCTATAATCATGCCTAAAAAGAGGGCATGCTAAAAGCTTTTTTTTGATGGTTTTGCTTTTGACCTCTTTTGATCCATCGCATTACATTATGGTTTTGTTCAGTTTTCACTAACTTCCTTCTTTTTGCCTTTCTTCAAATAAAGGGAAATTAATCTTCTAGTTTGGAAAACGGTACTCACAGTTTGAAAGGCCAAAGGAACATGGTTTTCAGTTTCAGGCCGCTTAACTTTTGAAAATTTATCAGTTTAGTCCATTAAATTTGTTTTTTTATCATTTTTATCCTTACGTTCTTTGTTTTATATCTTTATAGTCCATTTTTTAATCAACATTTCATTTTGTCCCCATAAAAATATTTCTTGACTCCACCACTAATCTAAGTTGAGAAAATTTAAAAAATTGAAATGTTTTTTGAGTCAAAATTAAAAACTGTTATAATTCTTTTTGTATGTTTTTTAAAATTGCTTTTAATTGAAAGTTTAAGATTTTTTTTTTTTTGATGCACAGGAAACTAAAATAGCACTAACTCCTACAGAACATGGTCCCCACAATGTCTCCTTGGAGAATAAATTCTATGCCCGATGGTGGAGTCTGATAGAAAATTGTACCATGCGATAAACGTTGTCCCAACCAAGGCATGAAGTCCGCTGCAAAATTGCCCTCTTGAAGTGTATGTTGCACAACGCAAGAATCAAAGGAATTAAGCATTGAAAAGATATCCGAGAACAAGACTGAAGCAAATCCATCTGTCATTTTCCTGCCTTGAATCATCTGAACTGCAAGCAAGGAATCCATTTCCAAAACCAACTGATGAATTCCTAGCGAAAGAGTTAAGCGTAAACCGTCTCGGCAACCCCAAAGCTCGGCAATGAAGCTTGAGGTAGTGCCTACATGTGTTGGAAAGTTTAAGATTTACATATACTTAATGAGTTATTTGATCACATATATCTAGAGACTATAGTATATATATATATATATAAAATGATGTGTATATCATCCACAAAATATTGTAATTACATACATGTATAGTAATATACATACACACATGAATACCGGATCTTACTCGCACATAGTTAAATACACAGCGTTGCATGGCGGCATGAATTAATCTTGCAAGACAAAACATTTCTTCTATGTGAAGGAATTGTATTAAATTAAATTGTATTGAAGACCAATTCAGAAAATTAATGCATGCACCTTCCTATTCTTGCATTATGAGTAAGGAGGGTGGAGTCCACACCCTCTTATTACAAGCTGGCTAGCCATATATAGAGGTAGGTTGAAAACATGAATGAGGATTCCCTCAGTTGCTGTTTGTATAATTGATGGCACATATATATTTTGTGGTTCAGCTCAATTGTCGATTCCGTGTGTCATGATATTAAAGCTAGGGTTAGGCTTCGCAGAGCTAGCTGGCTGACTGGTACGAGTAAGGATTACCTCAACAGGATATATCCTCATGACAATGGACCACCATCTTTCTTTGTTTCCTTGTTGGAATTGTTTTTGCAGTGTTCTTAAAGGGATCGTGAAGACAGACAAACTTCTAGGTTCTTGTCTAACGTCAAGGCGTCAAGCTCGTGTTATCTACTTGCACCGGCCTTTTGAAAAAAAAAAAAAAAACAAAAATAATTGATAGACATTTTTATCATATTACACGTATTGACGTATATATAAAAGCTAGGGGCAAGATATAATAGGCCAGCTTTGGTAAATTTACAGTAGTTGCTAACCATACTATTCAATAATTTTAATTTAATTTTTATTTTTTAAATATAAAATTTTAATGATTTATATAAATTATATTATTTACAAATATTGTAATTTTATATTTAAAAAAATCATTCGTCCTTTTTTGACTCCGTTTCCCTCAATATAAACACTCACGAGGCCAAATTATAAGATCAGTGGACGATTTCAAGAGCATTTGTTAGGTGTATTTTGGCTACGTGCGTACATTTCTTTAATTTCCTCC